GTGCTGGTATATACAAATTTCCCCCTCCTCAGGGGTCCACGACTAATTGCCAAGGTCAGGAACCCTAAGCTGGTAAGACCGAGGTGTGTAAAACCTCCTAGCTAGGGCCTTCACTTGATCCACATCCAGAGTACTTTCAAACTCCGAACATGGAACATCAGCCTTCGCCACCCTTCAGGCAGCGCTCTCGGCCATTGCCCCCAGGACGGGCTGTGGGATTTTCTCCCCCTCGGGTTGGGGGGACCCCTCTGCCTCCCTCGGCGTCACAGATGCGGTGCTCTCATAGGGAGGGTCATCGCCTCAGCGGCTACCTTTAGCACCCCCAGACGCTACCCTCTCCCTCAACACCTTCACTTCTTACTGAAGAGGACAATGGCCAAAGGACCTAGAGGAGAAAGGGGGAAGGAGTCCGAAGAGAGTTCCCTTCCGAACCATTCGGAAGTTCATAGCACTCAGGGCCAAAGTCTGAGAAAGACATGGTTTGAGAATTACCTAAGAGACGAGGGTGAAGAAAGTGGAGACGAGGTGTGTCAAAGGATTGAAGGTCTGAGAGCAAAGTTCACTCAACAACAAGGGCGCCTAATAATAAATGACAAAGAAAAATCGCCACTAAGGCCCCTATTTATAGATGAATGAGTGACTCAGATCTCGCTAGATCCAATGGTCGTGAGGTCCTCGCTTTCGCTGACCACCAGCGGTGTGACACTCAGCATCCAACCTCAGGGAAACAAAACGATGCCTATTAAACCCACGCGTGCCCAGCCTTGGGGAACCAAAACGACGCCTATTACACCCGTGCATGCCCAGCCTTGGGGAACCGAAATAACGCCTAGTAAACCCGTGCGTGCCTGGCCTCGAAGAAGCGAAACGATGCCTAGTAAACCGGCACTTAGCCTCGGGAAGGCAAAATGACACCGAGCGAACCAACAGGCCCACTCGCCGTGATCCACCGGTTTAGATGCACAAACCCAATGAATGCATGGACCGACTCGCCCAGAGTTCCCGTCTACCCTATGGAAGGCTCTCCCCACGCTAGACACATATCAAGCACGACCCCGACATGCTAGCCAGTGAATCCCGTATCGCGTACGGCCTTAGATTGTCACCATGTGAGTACAAGGCATAAACTCGGCTCAGCTGGGCCCCTTCCACCTCGGGCTCCCTAGCCGAAGCTGAGGCATCCACAACCTCACCTCTCTTCCATGAACTGTAATCAGGGCGAAACAGAAGCGAAACAAAGGCAATGCCACTGCAGGGTATACTCCACTAAACAAGCTCGATGGCACCTACCAATATTGACACCCTTCGGTTGAAGCTGAGGCCCCTTCCGAACCCCGACCTCGGCCTCAGGAGTGGGGGGCAAGTGATGTAGGCGCATTCGGCTGGCCTGTACAAGGCTGACTCGTGCCGAATGGAGGACGCCCGCATAGGCTTACCATGAGGGTGCTTAGAGTTACTTGACGCGGACCAAGCGGACCTAGTCACAGGGTGCCCTGTGGCATTGGCAGAACATCTCACTAGGCCCTCGTACGGCTCGCATCTAGACCATTCGAGCCCAACTACCCCTTGGCAGCTCCAGCTATAAATGCAAGGCACCCCCCTCAAGGTAAGGGATTCAATTCCACTTGAAATCTTTGTGATCTCTAGTGCTCTCTCCACTAAGGACTTAGCGCTATCCGAGACCTCGTCTGGACCCCCTCGGCTCCAGACTCATCATTTACCTCATGCACGTATTAACTTGGTTGTCGGAGTCCTCACCTCAGGTAACCACCCAAGGCCTCTAACACCCTCTCCCTTGCAGTTTCATCATTGTGGGAACAACACCTCGTCCTCCCTCGGACACCCTTCTTGGTACCAGCCCTCGGCTTTTACAATACTCGAAGGAGCGATACGCCTCGGCCTCAGCCTTGGCTCATCTCCCCAAGACCCTCAAAGCCTTCAGCCTTCTCTTGAAGCTTGGGAGTGAAATTACTTTGTTGCCCTTGGCCAAACCGAGCATCAACAACATGTATTATAATATTGGTAATTTTATTCATAGATATTTAAATCATATAATTTTACTAAGTATAATAATTTAATATATTTCTAATTTTCACAGCAATTTATACCATTGAATTTCAAAAATGTGGGCTCCCACATGCACATATTCTGTTATTCTTACACCAAGATGATAAACCTTCAACACCAACAGAAGTTGATAGAATTATTTCAGCTAAGCTTCCAGATAAAGATAAAGATCCTAAGGCATATGAAACAATTGTTCAGTATATGGTTCATGGCCCATGTGGAGAATTAAACCCAAATGCTCCTTGCATGATTAATGGAAAATGCTCTACGCATTATCCTAAATAATTTTGTAATGAGACAACATTTGTTGGAAATGGTTATCCTATGTATTGGAGAAGAAATAATGGACGAATTGCAATGAAGAATCGTCATATTTTGGATAGTAGATGGATTATTCCATACAATATTGATTTACTTCATCGGTTTCAAGCACATATCAATGTTGAATTATGCAATCGTTTAAGATCTAGTAAGTACTTATTTAAGTACGTTAATAAAGGACAAGATAGGGCCACTGTTGTTATTGAGAAAGATGTAGAAGATAATCATTGTGAAATTCGTGAGGTAAGAGAAGTTAATGAGATCAAAACTTATTTGGATTGGCGCTATATTTCAGCATCGAAAGCTTGCTGGAGAATATTCATGTTTGATATTCAATTCCAATTCCCAAGTGTTGAAAGATTATCATTTCATCTTCCTGATGAGTAAACTATTACTTTTAAGGATAATAACAATTCAGTCAGGATTTTGAATGGGTCCGATTTAGAGCACATTAAGTTTATTCAATGGATGTATGAAAAATATAATGATGCACGGGAGTTGACATATACTGATTTTCCTACAAAGTGGGTGTGGAATAAAAAAAAACAAAATTTGGACTAGAAGAAAGTCAGATAAATTAATTGGAAGAATCTATTATGTACACCCAACTTCAGGTGAATGATTTTAAATATTGTAAGAGGTCCTAGGAGTTTTGAGGAAATTAGAACAATGAATGGTATTGTCTACCCTACCTTTAAGTCAGCATGTTCAACGCTTGGATTGTTAGATGATGATTATGAGTGGCATGAAGCTATTGAACAAGCTGGGTTGTGGTCTATTGGTCAACAACTACGAGAAATATTTGCTACAATTCTATTATTTTGTGAGGTTTTAGGCCCTAATGAGTTGTAGAATAAACATTGGGAATTGTTTTCAGACGATATATTACATCGTCAAAGAAGAATACTAAAAGACAACTCAATTAATCTGTCATATGAGAAATTAATGAGCTATGCATTATATGAAATTGAAAAGATATTAAATAAGTGCAATAGTTTTTTTAGAGATTTGCCAACACTTTCATTTCCAGATATATCATTCCAAATTTGGGTTGAAAATAGACTAATTCTAGATAAAATGAATTATGATGGAATTTCTCAAGGATTTACTACAAAAAAATCATCATTTCGTAACGTTTCTTTTGTGACGTTTAAATAAAACGTTGCTGAAGTTCTCTTTTTCGTAACAATAATGACATTTGTTGCAAAACAAAGGTTTCTTGCAACGGTTAGAAACAACTGTTGCTAAAATCCGTCTTTTCGCAACGTCTCATTTATGTTTTGACGACGTTCATCGTAAATGTCATTAAAAATCATTCCCGCCACCACCAATATTTCACGCCAAATATTTTGGTGACGTTTGTAATAAATATCCTAAAAACCTTAAATTTTAATGACATTTAGTTTATATTTTGGTGACATTTATTAAGCATCACCAAATGTCTATTTGAATCCCCTTCTCCAAAATTGTTTTATTATATATTATTATTGTTATTATATTACTATTATTATTATTTAACTTTAAAGCTTTTATCAATTAGTTATGAAATGAATTAATTATAAAGTTAAGTTATAGCTCATTTGAAAATAATTATAAAAAACACTTATATAAATGAATATTTTAAATGCTTAAATATTTAAATTGTTTTTTAAGCGTAAAGTTTAATTATTAGTATTTCGTTTTAATTTTATTAATGTAGTTAATATTTTCGAATAATCAATTATATTCTTGTTTTTAATTAAAATTTGAATATTCAAATAAATAAATAAATATATATATATATATATTATAATTATAATATTAATTATACTTATAATATATAATATTTTAAAGTATAAAATTTATATTTTTATATTTATATATATAATATAAAAATATATTCTTCTGTTTTGTGCTATTGAGTCGAACTCAAGCTCATCGAATATTTAATCAAATGAATCTCGAATCAAAAAAATAAAGTTTGAATCAAACTCAAACTTAAACCCACGAGTATTTATTTCAGTTGAACCGAGTCGACGTATGTTGAAGTTTGACTTGATTTAGCTTGACCTCACTCCTAATTAAATAGTTGATTAATTAATATTAATAAATTAGTTACTTAATTATTATTTATTGTATTGTTACACAAAGTTAGAATGGATTGTCTATTCAAATCAAACAGTTTAACCCATGATTTTTGAATCGTCGTTTACATGGACGATTAGATCGTTTGGCCTGGGAATTGGCCAAGTAATCGGTTCTGTTTTACTACAAACCCGATCCCTAGCCAAAAACTGTTGAATCCGTTAATGACCTATTGACTCAGGCGGTTGAACCATTGAATGGTCAACCCGTTCAACCGTTTTAGCCATTTTTTTATTTCTTATTTTTATTGTCAAAATAGGCCGTTCATTTGACCGTCACCCGGAAACTAGTGGCCAGAAAAGTTTCGTTTGTAGATCATTTTTAAAACAATGGTTAAACCATTAACCCAAAAACTAGTGGCCAAAACGGTTCTAGTTTGGAACAGTTTTTAAAACATTGAGTAAAACTTCAACTTCATTTATAAAAAAAAATAAAACTTATTTTTTAATATAAAAAAGAAAAACCTAAAACTCTAAACCCGCCCAAACCCATCTACTAAAATTCCATTCTACTTCCCGCGTTGTTCCTTCTGCTTCTCCCTATCTCGCTCACTCTTTTCTGTCTTTCCCTCCTACTTCACCCGCTTCACCCACATCGTTCTTTCTTCTTCTCTCTTTCCCTCCACTCCTCATATGCTGTAAATCATTTTGGGGCTGCTTCAAACCCACTCCTCATCCTCTGTAAGTCATTTTGGGGCTTCTTCGAGTTGCTATCGCAATCAGTGTTCAACCCCAATTTCTAATTACGATTTGAGTTCAGGTATTTTTTATTTTTCCTCTTTGTTTTGCATGGAAAATCATCTGTTGGAAATATCCATCAAACCTAGAATTTTTTTGCTGATTATCTATTGGAAAGTCTTTTATTTTTTTTTATTTTTCCTCTTTTTTATTTTTTCTGATTCATCAAACCTAGAAATTAGTGGTGTGCATAATGTACATTTATGTTTCTGGGGTATTTTTTTGGGAGTTTTGTCATTTATGAGAGAGTTTTGGTCTTCCATTCGAGGTTGAATTTGTATTTAGGTTCCACGTAAGTTCAGATCCTATCTCTTGGATTTTGGTGTTTTGTTTTAGGGATTTTCTACTTGTTATGCCGTGGAAATACTTTTTTACTACACATCAGCTCCATACTTGTAAGTTGTAACTAACTTAGCACGTCATAATTGGTTTAAGTACCCTCAAGAGTTCCTACGTAGAATTCAAAAGCTTGTGGTATAGATCCTATTGTTGGATGTCAAAAATACTTGTGGAAGATTATTGCTTTAGGAAGCATTGCTCTTGGTAAGGGAGCTTCTCTTTGATGTTCTGAGTTTGATTGATCAATTTTATCTTCTTGCCTGATTTATGGATTCTTATTGATTGCATTCACTAATGGGGCATAGGTGTTACTGATAGCTTGGCAAATAATAAATTTGTATATAGGAATCAATGAAACAAATCACAACTCCTAGTTTTGTACATGTTAGATAAATTGAAAACTAGTCAAGAAGGACTATTGTCATACTTCAACTATTTTTTTTTTGTGTGTGCAAAGCAACTTGTGAATTTGTAGCAAACTCCACATCAGCTAGTCAACTGTACAATTATCTAACAAATTTAACACTTTCTCACCACAAGTACACTAATAATAATTTAACCCATACCTGTACACTTCTATCTCCATTACACCAAAGCAACTACCATCATAAGGAACAAGCTTCCACTGCTGAGACTCCTTGACATTGAATGTCAACCCCATCATACAACTTGTTGTAAGGGTGAGATAAGGTAGGAACCAGTGGATTGGCCACAGCTTCAGTCACTTTGTACCCTTTACCACCATCATTTTCTGTACACCCAATGTCATCAGCCCCACTCTCAGGACCCAATACCAAGGTTCCGACCTCCTTGCCTGTCTAGCAATCCTGTAATTGATTAATGTTTTTAGCATCGAGAGGTTTTAAAGCATGGATGAAGTTAGAGGCTCAGGTTTCTCCCATGGAATAAACTCTGCATTGTTATCTAATACTAGTATGGCTCTAGTTTGAAAGATGTTTCTGCCTTTTAATTTTTGACCATCCATAATGCATGTACAACCATTTGATTAAGATATCTTTAATTGATTTGATCAATTGAATATCTGTTGTTTTTTTCTCTAGTAAAATTTGCATGTACATATGTTGTGCAATAGACAACAGCTGTGGTGGTCCATAGATGCCCAAACATTCTAGGCTTTCCTAAGAATTCTGGTGTCCAAATCCTAAGAAAACTGCCCTTCATCTTCATGGGAATGATTTATGTAGTAGATAGATAGAATGCTGCCCTTCATCTTCATCTTCATCTTCATCTTCATCTTCATCTTCATCTTCTATTGAATAATTCTGAATTCGATCATTCTTTTATTTTTATGATATTTAACTAATTTACATATATCTTGGAAAACAGAATTCTGTTTTGTGGTATTTGTCTTTTCTTTTATACACTTAACAACTTCCATAGTTTTCTTTGTTGGTAAGTAGATCATTATACTCTTAAGTAGATCATCATAGTTTTCTGAACAATAAAGCAAGCATGGACACTCCCAACACCCTAACCCATCATTTTTTCTAACTCTCTTCCAAATATATATAAGCTGGGGCTACCTCATTTTTCTTCCTGTTTTACTTCTCACAAACAATTAAGACAAATCCAAACCTAAAGGAAAAATATTCTACATTTAGGACACAAAGTCCCCTAATTTTGAGGGCCAAAGATCATCGGATTGAGGGTGTTGAGCGTGGCCACTTTCTTGGCCTCATGGCTGGTCTCTAGCTATAGGTCACTGTTGAGTCCATGTCTGTCACATACTCACATGGCCCTTGTCCTTTTGTCCATGAGAACCAGAAGCAACCTTAGTAGGAAAGTATTAATTTAACCTTTTTAGTACCAACACTCTTATCAAGGGAGATGTAAAGCTGTTTAACATTGATAATAACTGATTAGCTGACCCGAAGGGTACTTAAGGTATAAGTTAGGTACGGGAGAGAAATGTTGATCGTAGTGATTTGCTTCGTTTGTTTGCACATTGGGATACTTTAGAGAACAAGGTATAAGTTAAAAGTAATTTAGTAATTTCTTTTTAACATGGTAAATACATAGTAGATTAATATCACTAAATTGTCATTGTTGTAGCAAAAGTGTCAGACAATGGCCAGGGAGAGGGCTCGTAACAAGGTGAATCACCACTTAGGCCGAGCTTCTTATGCAACTCTTCTCCATCAGATGGTGGGATGACCAACATAATTTATATATACATATATATACATTTATTTCTTTGTTAATTTGTATAATGGCTCAAACCGGTTTATTTGTTTTAGGAGGAGGAAAGCAAACAAAACAATGCTCCCCCCTAGGTGAGAGGACCTATTCAAGAGGGCCCACACAAACTCCCCAGGGGAGTTCTATGATCCCGAGGCAAGGGAACTTGCTGTAAGTATTTTTTTATATTTATTCATTGAATAATTTTAGTATGGCTTTATTTTGGACCATTTCAAGTAAATGCTTTTTTTTATAAATTGTTCTAGGCCAAAATGACAACATATATGGCAGAGCAAGCAGAAGATGGCGCATGGGTTGAGGCCATTGGTCCCCATGATGCACTGGCAGCAGTTTTGGGAGATGGGCATCCATCACGGGTGTGCTGTTTGGGCTTTGGCCCGACCCCAAAGCATGCTTTTGGTACTACAAGGTCTGGAAGCACCTCTCAAACTACAACTTCCACCATGTACATGACACATTTGGAGCAAGAGAACCAACAACTTCGGGCAAAAGTGGACAATCTTCAATCGAACATGGTGAGTCTGAATTCACATGTGCTACATTTGCAATCATTCATGGAGCAGATGGCGCAACAATATGGCATGCCTATGCCTGATCCATTCCCCACGCTCAATACAATTCAAGTATGTGCCTGAACTTTTCCCCATTATGTGCCTATCTAGTTGCTGGCTTTTTTTTGGTTAATCTTGCTGTTAACTCTAAGTAGATCTGCAGTGCTAAATAAACTGGTTCAACTTTCCATAGATTGCACCATCAAATTTTCCTTGAATTAATTGGTTGAATTGGTTATTTATTTGGGTTAAGGGCTGAATGGTTATTTATTTGGGTTTGGATCCATCATTCTGGCCCGGATTTGATACCTTATTCAAGGACATTGTCAAAGGACTCAAAGCAAGGGTTGTAGCTTGTTACCAAGTGGTTGAACATCTATTGTTCAAAGATGGGAACATCCCTGATGGGCCTTATGTGCTTCAGATACTGCAAATTCACAAAGTTGTCTGTTAACAAAAGAACAAGAAAATAAATAAAAATGAAAATAGGAACAACTTTCCTAGTTCAATCCTAAACCCCCCCTACTTGTGTCAATCCAATGACAACTAGGAGCACTGGAATCCCAATTTCGATGCAGTTTCCCAACTAATGACCAAAAATTAAGGTGAAAGATTAGAGGCCAAGGAATGCAGAACATTCTATCAGATCAAATCTGGTCATAGGATATCTTCTAGGCTCATCCATTCTGATAGGTCCTACTCGCTTGCATGTGAACCACTAAAACTTTTACACCATTTCTAGTCCATCATTTTGTCATACACGATAATCACAACAAATTCCCTCTAGTTGCAAGACCTACCGAAGGAAAGCCTTGTCAAATAATCCCAAGTCAACCAATCCAACTACAGGTGCCATACCAAGGGGACTGAAAAACCTGCAAAGAAAAACAGAAAGAACTACGAAAACTACCATTCAAGAAACAAATGGTCTGCCAAAATGTACCTTGAGAAAAGTCCCCAAATTTGGCTATAACCCAGGATGATCTGTATGCTTGATGCTACGATCAATGTTCTTTGGATTGCTCGCATAGTTTGTATAAATCTCTGGAAGTCAGAGACACATGCATGTAACACTTGCTAGTTTTTATAAGTGCCAAAAAAAAAAAAACAAATTAGAAGATACAAAACCAGAAAGGGGAATATACTTGACAAGTATCACCTTTTGGCTTTTCTGTACTGGTTATCCTATGGGTCGAAAAAGCACTCTCACAGGTTCTTCTCCACATGACCTTAGATATTTTTGCCACATGGAAGTATGACATCAGACAGAGGACACTAAGGATCACCCACATGTTTGATCCCCCCCCATGTCAACCCTATATCCCACCTAGTTGCCCAAAGGAAATGCTTATTCTGAATAACCGATAAGGGTTTTTATAGCTAAATATTACACTAGTAATAGAGAAAGGCAAGAGGAACATGTGGGTCAGTTTAAAGCCACAACAGTCTTGCCATTTGGAAAAATTCTTGTCATGTAGGTTTCTTCATTCTAAAACCCAGCTGACACTCTCCCTTGTTTCCATTTATATTTGTACCTGTATTTGTATTTGCATTAATTGAAAGAAAGAGAGGAGTAATCTGGTTCCAAAGACTGCTTGCAGAAGTGTTTGTACCTATATTTGTATTTGAACCTGTATTTGTATTTGTATTTGTATTTGCATTAATTCAAAAACCCAGCTGACACTCACAGGTTCTTCACCACCCACTACTGCTGGTAATCTGGTTCCAAAGAGTGCTTGCAAAAGTGTTTTGATACCAAATACAAATAACAGAGTTTGTATCACCCAAATTTTGTCACCCTGTTAGTGAATGCACCAAAGATATTTTACAAAAAATGTTGACCTTGTCACATGATCCAAACCATGCTTTTCCACTCGGAAAGGAAGGGTTGGGAGAAAATAAAAATGAAAGGAAACTCCAAGCAAGGATGAGTGGAGGCATCATATCAGGTTCGTTTCTGGTCTAGCTTCACAGTGAGGACCCAGGAAATGGTGTCTCAGCTCCCAGGAATTTCTCCGTATGCATGGCATAGGTACAACATGGGGTAGAAGATGAGGTCACAGAGGCCTCTTGGCTGATCCGAACCCAATCTGAAATCTGGCAGTATCCAAATCTGATCCAAGTACCCTAGATGCAATCAGATTTGGATATGGATGAAGACCTTTGACAGCACCCATAAGAAGTGAGGATTTAGTTTTGAATTAATAAGCTAAAGTCCAACTTACATCAGTTCCACCCATTACTGGGACAAGCAACGAGAGGATCATAACACTAGTTCCCAATGTGAGGATTTAGTTTTGAAAAGCCAATAGTATAGTTTCAGCTGCAAGAGAAAGCTTTAATCGACCAAAAAAAAAGTGAACAAATAACTCAGTTTACAATTCACATATAAAAGTCCTGACCACACAAATAAGAAAGTGAAGAATTAAGAATATAAAAGCATCTAGTACCAACAACTGCATTATAGTTGGAGTAAAGGAGTAAAGGCAAACTGATGTAGGAAAACCAAGGCGATACGATACAAAAATATCTTGTCACATTTGAAATGATGGACTTCTAGTGTTAAAATAACCAATTTGCTAGAGATGTAGACCATGTAATGAAGAACTAGGGAATGGGATTTCAAGGGTCTCAATTGGCTAATATAAAACTAGTGAAAATATCAGATATTTCAGATTTTAGAATTTAGAAAACAAAAGAACTAGAACTCCACCTAGAAGATATAGAGTTAATGAGTAATTAGGGAAAATATAGGATTTGGCCCAAGACTGAGATTTGTTTTCTTCCCCTGGTCCAATGGTGAACAAAGGCCCATTTATGTGAACCACTTATAACTTCCTCAGCTGATTGGAACCTGAAATCATGGAATTGTTAACCTGAAATTATGGCTGTTCCAGGGGATTCTCTGGCTATCTGATGGGCTGTCTAAATTATCCACATCAGCTCTTCACCTGGCTCAATAGTTTATTCATTTAGAAACCTGTTTTATGTGTGTATGCATGTTGGTTTATCCAGAGCTCAGAGAGTTAGGGCTTTAGGTCATCATCTGGTTTGGTCTAGGTAGGTTATATGACATCTTAGAAGTAAGATTGTGTTTGGATTGTGGGGCAGAAGTGGTAGAGCTTCTGGAATGCTGGGTTCTCCCCATTTTACTTGGCACATCCTGTCTTGGCTTCTGCTCCAAAGCCTAATCCAAACACAACCTAATTGAATGAGTTGTCCTAGAGCAGCACAAAATAAAAACACTTAAAGAGGATTGCCAAGGTCTGTGGCTACATTTCCACATAAAGAGCAAGAGATAAACTACAAATCTTATACAAGATACTCACCTTTGGGGTATTAAGTACAAGTTTTGCAAGAACGAGAGAATTAGTCAGAATTACATGATGGCTATCTGCTATCTCTCCTCCATGGGCCAAAAGAAGAGAACATGACAGGAGAAAACAAAAAAATATCCAAGTGAATACATAATAACACTCCTCCATAGGCCAAAATGATGGCTATCTGATGACAGTGATTCCAATATCGGAGTCCATTGAGAAGTCTATTGGTTTGGAAACCATAGTGAATACAGAGGTGAAGGTAGTGGGTTTAGTTTTTTTAGGGGGTGAGGAATTTGCAAGGAAAACCTTTAAGGAACTAGAAGAAAAATAACCAATGCCTATGGAAGATGGGTAACAACACTCTTTTGGTTATTTGTTAGAGATAAAAAATACATAATAATACACTTAAACAAAATGGATCTTGTCATAAACTCTGCATTGACAAAATCTCTTAATACAAACAAACCATGAAAGAAAACCAGAGTTCCCCAGTTCCCCTACAATAAATACAAGTTACTTTTTGTAGATGTTTTTGAACAGTATTATTTTCCTATTTTGCATGTTGATTTTCTGTAACATGAACACAAAAGTGTTCAGATTTGCACCATTGGAAAAGAATTGGAAGGAAACATGAAGTTAAAGAAACTAGAAGTAAGAACTGAAATGTGGACCAATTTCGATATCAAATACTTGATCAGTATTTCCATATGCATTTGACTAGATAATTGTTGAAAACCTGCCAACCATTGCTTTGTGATGGTTGACTGAATCTCTAATCTGGAAAATGTGATTAGAGATTTATAATTGAAATGTGATGTTCACCTACTCTTTAGAGGAAGGGATATTCATATTGAGTTCTCCTTGTGCCAAGCAAACAAAGATTCTACAACTGCCACTCCCCTTGTGTCCCTTTTCTTATCAGTTCAGGTGTTATCAGACTATTTGAAAGAGCATGACTGGTTCTTCCAGAAATGAATATGCTCACTCCTGGGAACTGCTCCCATTCCCACTGAGAAGGTATATAGACCTTATCTCAATAAACAAATGAATAAATACAGACAAGATACTTGCAAAAATTCAAATTTCAATGCAATGCACCTTGTACATTAATAGTTGGATTGGGAACATTTTGGCTTCTTATATTTATAATGCCATGAACCTTGGTGTAATGGTAAAATCTTGGCCTAACACACAAACTCTTAAAAGAGGATTTGTTTGTCATAAAAAAATAGGCATATGTACTTGACAAACATTCATTATAGAATTTTCTAGATTATGAAATATCTTTATAGCTATATTTTCTTTAAAAAATCTACTTGAAAATACAAGAATGTTGGAAAGAAATTGTTGGTTGATGTTTCCATTCCCATGATGTTGCTTCATCATCAAACCCGGTTACAATAAATCATTTAACATTTTGTTTATACTTGCTAAAAAAATTATGTTATACTTCTACATCTTTTGGTGAAAAATAACATTATTATTGTCTTTTGTAGGATATTGAATAGATACCTAACATAGGGTCTCCTCGTGCACATGCAATGAGTAGGGAGAGGGAGAATGCCAATGCAAAGGGGAAATCTCTCTGTTTTGGATGATATATTTTTCTTCCTTTTTCATATACTTTTTGTATAAACATAAATGTTTAATTGCAAATACTTTTTTTATTAATTATAATTTTGAAACTTATTTTGTTATATTTTAATATAATTAAATGATTATATGGATGGATTAAGTGTAAAGCAGATAATTTAAAATAATTGGGATATCAAAAATACACTTTTGGCGACGTTTGTTTAACATCACCGAAATTGGTATAACAAAACAAAAAAAACCTTTTAGTGCTGTTTGTAAACGTCACCAAAAGAAATTTAAATGTTGCCATTGTATAAAGTATGCGACTTTTGTAAAAAGTTTAGTGACATTTGCAAAATGTCGCGAAAACTTTTAATAACATTCACAATCGTGACGATGATGTAAATGTCACAAAAACCTTTTTGCGACGTTTCCCTAGCTTTTGGTGAAGTTTATGAAAAGTCACGAAAAGCCTTTTTTCCTGTAGTGATTGCATACATGTTCATTGAATATGGAACAAAAAATTGTATTTGAAGAAATCTTACAAGTAGTCCATACAAATTCAAGAGGTTTATTTTTTGTGCATGGAAATGGAAGTTCAAGAAAAACTTATCTTTGGAAAGTAATAATTGCATAGTTAAGGTCTAAACAAATGATTGTGTTAGCGTGTGCATCATCGGGAATTGTAGCGTTTTTACTACCTAGAGGAAGAACTAGTCATTCAAGATTTAAGGTTCCCCTTGAAATTGGTGACAACACATGTTTGATTATACAAAGATCACATCTCGTTGAATTGATCCAAGTTGCTGATTTAATAATTTGAGATGAAGTTCCAACGATTTATAGAAATGCATTTGAGGCCATAGATAGAACTTTCAGAGATCTTATGCGTTTAAAGGATTCGTGTTCTTCTGAAAAGGTTTTTGGAGGGAAACCCGTTATTTTTGGAGGAGATTTCAGACAAGTTTTAGCGGTTGTTAATAAGGGAATGCAGGAAGCAATTGTTTCATCTGTGGTTAATAAATCAAATTTTTGACATCAATGTATTGTTTTTCACTTAACAATAAATATGAGGCTTCGAGTTAGATACCTTGATGATTCGATTGCAAATTCTTTAAATGAATTTTATAAGTGGATATTAGTTCTTGGAGATGGTAAATTACCTACATTATCTTTGGATGATCAATACGAACAAAGTTGAATAAGAATACTAGAAGAATTTTTAATACTTCTAGAGAATAATCCTGTTAAGAATATTGTATCAGCAGTATATTCTGATTTGGAATGTAGATATACAGACCACAATTATTTGATTGAAAGAGCAATTTTAGTAACTACTAATCACAAGGTCGATGAAGTGAATGATTATATCTTATCCACTATACCTGGTGATATATCTACATATTTAAGTGCAGACACAATAAGTCCTATCTCTAAATCAATTGAGAACCAAAATATTTTATTCCTCACAGAGTTCTTATATACATTAAAGTATTATGGAATTCTAAATCATGAATTGAAGTTAAAAGTTAGAATTTCAATCATTCTTCTGTGAAATTTGAACTAAAGTGATGGGTTATGCAATGGAACAAGGCTGATTGTTATTTAATTAGCAAGAAGAGTAATTGAATATGAAATAATTACAGGAAATAATGTGGGTAAAAATGTTTTCATTCCAAGGATAGTGATGACTCCAACTGATTCGAATTGGCCATTTCTTGTGAATGTTTGTTTTACAATGACAATCAATAAAAGTCAATGACAAACTTTGAATTATGTTGAAATTTACTTGTTGCAACTTGTATTTATTCATGTACAATTATATGTGGCAATTTCCTGTGTAATAAGGACAATAAACCAGAATGATATACACAAAACATTGTCTATCATGAAGTCTTTAATAATTTGTATTCAGGTATATTGATTATTAATAGTTATTTCTTACTATTTTTTATTTATTTTGTGTCTAATATATTTCTCAAATTAATGAACAGGTGAGTGACAATGTCTTTCTTGACAATAAATCCGATTAAAATATAAGGAAGTAGAGAAGAAAAGGAAAGAAGAGAGAAAGGAGAAGGAAGAAAGGAAGAAGAAAAAGTTTGGAGCGATAGAATAGTGTTGGCGATGCCAACTTTTATTATATTATATAGGGGGGCAGAAATAAGAAGGGAAAAGACCCTTGTGCCCCTGCTGTAAGTGAGTACAATAACAGAAATAAAAAATGATTTAACTAGCCAAACAGACCCTAACACAAATAACTAAATTATTTCAACACTCCCCCTCAAGTTGGAGCATAAATGTTAATCATGCCCAACTTGTCACACAAATCATTGTATCGCACATGATGAAGGCCTTTGGTGAAGATATCTGTAAGTTGTTTTTCTGGGCTAACATATGAAGTATACACTTCTCCATTTACAAGTTTCTCTCTAATAAAATGTTTGTCCACTTCAATGTGTTTCGTCCTATCGTGCAAGACTGGATTAGTAGCAATATTGATGGCAGCTTTATTGTCACAGTAGAGTGACATAGGATTGCTCACTACAAAACCCAATTCATCTAACAGATTTCTTATCCACATTATTTCAGCAACCCCATGAGACATCGCTCTATATTCTGCTTCAGCACTAGATCTAGCCACCACACTTTGTTTTTTACTTCTCCATGTGACTAGGTTTCCTCTTACAAAGGCACAATATCCACTAGTAGACTTTCGGTCAT